TTCCAGGGGAGAGAAAAAAAAAAAAAAAAGGAAAAAACCAAAGCACACCACCCACCTGCTTGAAGATCAAATTGGTTCAAATGTTTAAGAACTAGGACTAGAAATAGAACTTCAAATTGGAATTTTTTTTTTTGAACTGCAAAAAAGATATTTGGAAAGACCAAACAATATACACCTGGCTAGGAGTTTGGGGTTACTGCGTAGGATTAGAAATAGAACTTTAAATTGGAATTTTTTTTTTTTAACTGCTAAAAAGATATTTGGAAAGACCAAACAACTATACACCTGGCTAGGAGTTTGGGGTTACTGCATAATTCAGCATTTGCAAGTACCACCGTAAGACATAGCCAAGACCTTCCTCTAAATACCATTTAAAAAATGACATTTTCAACCCAGACTTTACTTAACATTACACTCTGTTGTTTTCTCTCTCTGCAGTTGCCTTAAAACAAATAGCTGGTTCAAGTGAGTAACAACATCTCTTCTAGTGTAAATGTACAGGAGGCTAACCACTACAAAGTGGAATTAAAAAAAAAAATTAAAAAAATCAGTAGTTCTGCAGAAGCTTATTTCTGAGTAACAAGATCACATGTGAACCAGCAGTGGATTTCAACAGCAAGACTCAGTCCTGACACTTAGTTACCAATCCATTTGCGCCTTGCACCAGGCAAGATTGAGGAGTTGAAGAAAAGAACAAGAAAAGGTTTTTTTAAATGTTTGGGCAATAGATTTGTACTGAGCAAAATACACGTGCTTGCAGTGGAAGCACAACTCCCACAGACACAAAAATATGCTGCTTTTTTTTTTTTACCTCCTGTATTCAGCAGTGTGTTTAACCTTGGAGCTGTCAAGCTCCATCATGAATAATGAGCCATGACAACACTCCCAAGTGATCCTTGGAGAACAGACCAATTTTAACTATATGCTACGCAAGGCAAAACACTGTTATCATATTCCCATGGTACTGTACCTGCTTTGAAAATATACAATAATGTGGCCATCAAGAGGAGACCACAAGTAAATACAGAAAAAATAAGCTACTCCCTGGTATTTCATCACCCGCAAACACAGAATGAGCAATAAAGTATGGAACAACCTAATAGTTCCTAGCTAAAATTAAGCCAGGACTGAGAAGGAGATTTGTCCCACTGATTGCATTTCACACAAACATTTCACAGCCGAGGAACATCTGCATTTGAAACAACCCATGGTTGCTACCTTGTGAAGAGAGAGCACCCTGCAGGTCTCGCAGCACCCTGCGTGGTGACCTCTCCCAGATGAGCGTAAAGATGGGACAGGAGGGCAGCACCTGCTGCCAGCAGCCCCCCAGTGCTCTCGGAACAAACACACTCCCCCCATACACACGGCACTGACAGAAAGTATAGGAAGAACCTGTGGTCCCTCGAATGACTGATCATAGGTGCCCTACACCAACACCCTAACTATGCCAAGGCAGGTCTTTAAGGCAGCACAGCACAGGTAAACAACGGCAGCAGCCATTTACGCCATGCACCTCCCAAGCTCGAGGGGAAGAAGACAGAACAAATAGATTAATCTGAAGAACAGAAAAACTCAGAAGAAACAAGCTGAAGATTTAAACAGGCATTCACTTCTCTCCTAAACAACAACGGAGGGCTGTGATTCCAAATACCCCTTTACAAAAAAAAAATCCACCACCTGTTCAGGAAATAAGTGCTAATTCATTAACATGCACCTGGAAAACACACATGTTCCCCAACAGATACAAGCAGCAAGCATCTGTTCTTTGTTTCTGCAAAGGGAAAACACAAATATATCCCTATTCCTGACCTGTTTGCAACAAGGTATTTGTTCTCGGCCTGTAGTGGGGAAAAACTTGCCTTTACTCCTGTGCCGTTTTCTCACCTCATTGCCACAACCAAAAATACAGAACATCACTTTCCCCTCTCTGTAGGGCACCACTTTACTTACACTTCAGTTTCAAAAGTTACTATACACTATGGGAGCTTTCAAAAAGCAGCAATGGCAGACAGTAGATGCTTGCCTTTAAGGGGTTAAGTTTGCAGTGTCAGACAGCAGAAACCAGTCCTGAGCACTTTGAGGAGTTTTAAGGGCTAACACATCTCCTTTCCACTGAACTGCTGTTAAAAAAAAAAAATGAGCCCTCTCCTGCAAGACTGGATGGCTTTTTTAGAGAGCCAAAGTCAGAAAATCTCTTGAGTTCTTGTCTAGGGTTGAAGTTGGAGAAGCACCTCTACCACCGATATGATAACATAGTTAGATATCACTACATGATAGTGTATTTATTGACAATTTAGTTTTCCATTCAGGGTACAGCCATCCATACCCCTCCTCTACCTGCTCTCCTTTCCCTCTACTCACCTCTTCCATGTACAGGACATTTTGCAGCTCCTCACATCATACTAGATCTCCCCTTCCTCTGCAGCGCTCTCATATCAGCAAGACTCATGCTACCACCACACACAGCACTACCACAATCTCCAGTTCAAAACAGTTCTGCTCTTAACACAGGACTCGCTCTATACTCAAAGAGGTCCCCCAGATTACTGGGACGGTAATTTTCTTTCAGCATTATAGTTAAAATGTCCTCAGCCCTCCGCATACACCGCTCCCTGAAAATATATTTCCATTTATGCCCTACATCACAGCTCTGCACATTTAGCAATTCCATTCCCTGCTAGCAATATTTGTCAATAAGATATCTTTAAAGAAGGATAATTACAGATTTCACTTGAACAGAAATTGGTACTGGGCCAATCTGTACGGTCTTTAATAAGCTTTCAAACTTTACTTCACACCAAACAAGACTTTGCTCTCCACCAGGAGCAGGGACATAGCTCTAAAAGCAAAGGTGGAAAGCTTGCCTCCGCAAGAGGAGGTAAGGTCACAGCTCCAATCCTTCTTGCAGTACTATACCTTCCCCTGAAGGTTCTTCTTCATACCTGGAGATATGCTGCCCATGTTTTGCAAAAGAAAAACTAAGGAAGTCAGGTCAGACATCATGAAAAAGTAGTCACAAAGAAAAAAAAAGGTTTGGCAGTTGTATCAGAAAAGGAACAAAGACCAGTATGACAGAAAGTGCGCCAAGGACTCAAAAATTAGGAATTGATAAAATTAAGGATGGTCACATATCACAAAGCAGCATGGCATTGTCTGAGAACATTTGTGTGAAGATGGATTTCAAAGAGATGGAAGAACACAAGGCAAAGTCTCTCAAGCACCTCAGTATCTAGTCCCATATCAGGACAAATGCTTTCTGTCTATAGACACCAGACTTAGCACAGAAAACATTAATCTTGTCTGTGGACACTCCTCTCCACTTTTGTACTGCTGCCACTTTTGTTCTCTGTAAGCTGTGCCCACACGACCTGGTGAAATCACATTTCAGCCAGATCATTTTCCTGAGGGGAATTAATGCAAGACTCTGCAAACCGCCCTCCACGCTACCTGCCTGATAACTAAGGTGGAAACTGAAAAGGGTAATTGATAAAATGATGGTCAACAGAAAGATGGTCCTGTTTTGAAGGTACAAGACTAGCACCCAGGAAAACTACACACGAGCTTTCTGTGCAAAGTTAGACAAATCGTCATTTTCCACTGTGGTCATCAACTACATGGCATCACATGTAGATGTCACACTTGATATACTAAAATACTGCTGTCAGAGTGGCTGACTGCCCAGAGAATCCCAGCTGGAATCTGTAGGAACCACATGTACTGAGTACACAGCTGCCAGGAAGTCTCCAACTGGGAACTTAACCCACAGGCACTTAAAAAAAGAAGAGTTATGAGTGTTACACATGTAAAGCACACACATCAATAATGTCTATTTGACAGAAATTAAACACATGAATATCCACAACATCCTCAGCTTTTAACATACCTAGAGGTTCTCCCCATTGGGAGATGCCACACTAAAAGAATGACTTGTGACAGTAGCAGAATTTTCTGCTATATATAAGCAAGCCTTTAAAAGGCACAAGTGGTTCTGTTGGCAAAAGGGCTACACACCTACTCCCTAGACACTATTAAAACACATTTTAATTACCTTGAGGGACAGCTTTGGGGGCAGGGAAACAGAGCCATGGTATAACTACAAAGCTTCACACATTAATTTTGAAAGGCAAACCACAAGCCTGACCACTCTCCAATCCCTAAAGACTGGGGTTAAAAAAGTGGCAGGAAAGGAACCATCTTTTTCCAGCCTTATTCTCTGAAGTACCCATGCAGATTTTACTGAAATGTTTGCAGGTCTTCCCAACCGAAGATAACTCTAGCGGGAAGAATTTAATCTAGAAGCTGAAGACTATCAAATATGAGTACCTGAACACAGACTACCATAACAGGAAACAGTAAGAAACCCAAGATGTATGTTAATAGATGCTCTAATTATTAACGTGCACACATTCAGAGTTTATCAGAAGCGCCAAGGCATTTGAAAAGAAAATCACTATTCAAATACAGATATTTGCCAGCAGCTGTATCACCATCATATTCTCTAGCTGGTTTTGATTCAACTTAGAGGACATCAAGTTAATCCCACAGGACAGTATCATTCACTTTTATAATAGCTACTGACCTCATTTCTGTGTTTGAGCCCTGCTGTAGTGTCATGACCAAATGTGGCAAGTAACAAATCACACTCTCTCAGCAGCCAGTGCCCATCCTTTCTCCTTTCAAAGCTTTCATTCATTTCTGCATTTTTTAAAGTCATGCTGTTTCAAAACAGCTGATCCAGATGGTGGATATTTGGATTTCAGCCTTCCCACATGGTGATGTGGCTCAAGAAGATTAAAAAAACAAAAAAACACTGTTGCTACCTGCTGCTGACCTACTTCTTTGTTTCCTGCATATGACAGAATAAACAATAGTTCATTGAACTCATCTTCCACGCCTAACCACCATTATGTAGCTAATATAAAATAAAGGGTAAGGAGGGAGAAGGAGAAAAAAAAAAAGCAGCATGATCCAGTGGGGAGGTAGGGGGGAGCAACTCTCACCTCTATCATAGTCGTCTTCCTCTATTGCTTTTTCCTGAAGCCTCTGAAGCTGTAAGATCAAGGATTTTATCTATGCAAAGAGAAAAAAGTTAACTATGAAGAAGTTGCATGTATAACTATTTAGTTTATTAACTTCTATATAATACAAACTCAACAGAGTACTACATAACTAGAATGGCCCAATTGTGAGAGTTAAGCACAATATTTCTTAAGGGGACAGACCTACTTGGAAGTCTACTGAACTGCAGCTACTTGAGCCAAGCATGGCTTTAGTCCAAACACATAGAGAATAACAAACAATATTTCTTGAAAAGCAAAAGAGATCATGTGATTATAGGATATTTTTCACACTTTGAATAGGTCAAAGGAAGGATTATTAGAGGATTCTGTCAGCACGACATCTACTTCTGATCACATTGTACTGAACAGTGTGTTCTTGAGCCCATTCTAACAATTTTTTGCGTCCGAGTTTTACACAGAACAAATCCAGAATTTCCATATACAAACCACATTTTCTTCTGTAAGTAAAAAGAAATACAGTACGAATATTTTGGAACAAGTATACTCATGTTACAGCACAGAAAACTGTGTTCATATCCAGCCAATGAAGTTTCATTAAAATATAATTTAGGCTCATCTACATAGTGTTAACAATTTGCATTTTCAGAAATGTTCACATTGCAAATGCTAGATGGGGAAAAGCAGCAAAACACCAAGAACGCCTATACTAGATACAGAGTGCCCTTTCACACCCAAAAAGAAACTCTTTCCATAATAAAGTTTTATTTCAAAAGTTACTGCTTCTCTTTCTTAACATGAAGGGTCTGGACCAAAGTTCTAAATTTGCTAAAAATTTGTAAGGCTAGGTGAGCATTCAGAGTCCCTTACAAGCTCTTACAAGTAGAAGAATTTGGTTAGAAGGTAGCTAGCCCTCTCCCCATTGCCATGCCAGCTACAGCCTAACATGGCTACAGTTACAAGACTGAAAAGTGTTTTCTTTTTGTTAAGTTTATACATAACCTGTACCAAACAAGCCATTACCATCACTGAAAAAGGTAAGACTAGAAAAAGCAGCAGCATATATTCTCATTGCCCAAAATCTAAAAGTGCTTGGGAAAGCATCTGCCAACAACAAGAAATTCCGTACTTCAGACATTCTGCATTTACAAGAGACTTTGCTCCTCCCTGAAACTCTTTCATATTTAAATCTCTACATTTAAACTCTACATTACAGAGAGAAAAATAGGTACAGCCAGTCAACAACTTAATAGAAACACTCAGTTATCATGACTACACAATCAACACACAAATCAGGCAAGACTGGTATCCCTTCTAAATAGAATATGTGAAAGTAGACTAGTCAGAAAAGAACTATAAAAAATAAAGCCAGAAAAGAATCAGAAAGTGCTTGATTAATACTAGGCTATAGGATGCCCCAGAAGAAAAACATAAAGCAATGCTATATATGCTCCCTTTTCCTCAAGGCTTTATCTTATTTTGTTTTTCACATCCTAAAACTCCAACCTTTTTTCTCTGAGGCTGGTGAGGAATGTGTAACATATTGAAGAGCCCTGAACCCTCACCATAAATTATTTTCTGCATTTTATGCCATACTTTTGATAGAGTTTTAAAGAAGCCTGCAGTAGGAATGATTTAAATGACACTTTTTTCATATATATGATGTATAACAGCCATCTATACCAAGAGTACAGCTTTGCTGCTCTTTGCAGTGTTTAACCCATCACGCACTCACAGTGGCAGGTCATTTAAAGTCTGCTTGGGTACCACAGCCCAAGCGTGCCCACAGCAAACTGACTGATGCTGTCACAGTAAAGTACTTTCTGTTTGCAGGCTGGTAATATGTTTAGAGCTCAACTCAAAGAGCTGCTTCAGCATGACATGTCCTATATCTGTACCATGTGATGACCACTTTGTTTTTTCTGTACTTATTAAAAAAATAATTTTAACTACTTCAGTATTGTCTCCTTTTCTTGACTGCGGTTGCCTTTGCTCCCTTCTGAAGATTTTGAGACTTGCTCATTATCATTACAACAGGAAGGCACTTCAAATTAAACATACATGACTGGCTAACCAAGGGCAAAGGTATCTGAGGGCACAAATCCCCAATTCTCCATTCAATGAATTACTGAATACAGAAATTAAAGATAGCAATGTTGGGGGTTTTTTTGTGCCTATCAAATAAGCATACTGAAAACAAGGAAAAATAATTTCCTATACTGATTATCTTATATAGTCCCAAATTTGCCGCAAATTAATTTCCCAAACCATCCCAGACTATGGGCACATTGTTGAATGAAGCATGAATGAGGCATGAAGCCAAAAAAAATGCTCCATGTCAAGCCTGTAAAAAAAGAGAACCTAGTTTGAGTCCTACATGCATCCTCCAGGAAGTAAGTATTAGAGAGCACCATAAATCCTTGTCAGATGTCATTGATAGTAAAGAAAGAGTACAAGTTTCTTGATCTCCTGTCTTACCCAGACAGCAGGGTTGTGCAAAGCCTCCCCAGAGCAGATTGTTTCATCAGGCTTAAAGACTATGCAGTGCATCTCAGGAGGTACACCTGAGCTGAGAAGTCACAAGAACCTGGGTTTCTGAAAGGCATCCCAGAAACTCAGGACACTAGTGAGAAAACAACAAAACACAAAACACTCACACACCCAAAAAAACCCTCAAGAAAACTACCCTACCAATCCCACAAAATAAGGCAAAAAAACCCACCACCCACTTAGTGCAACTTGAACAAATTTGTGAAATGTATCCTGTCCATTTTAATCTCTAGAATACTGCTTCCTGCATGCACAATAAAGCTGATATTTGGCTTCTTATCACAGGTAAGCTCAGAATGGCTTCCCTCTGATGCTCACCCTGCCATCCCAAAAACTGTGTAACAAAACCAACTGATCCTTCTTAAGGTTTCCCCACCCCTCTTCCACAAAGGCCACAGTGAATTAGACTGCCTGTATATGTGGAAGGTATACATGTGGGTATACACATGTGCAAAAAGAATGACTCCTGACTCAGTAGCCCAGTACTCCTCTGGGGTAGAAGAAAAAAAAAAAAAATAAAACTTTCAGTTCCCAGTTTAAGTTAGAGCAGGGACATGGCCCCCATTTTTCTTCATGCGTGGAGAGTACCCATCTATTAGATTACAGGCTATTCTCATACAGGTGCCTCACTCCAAGAAATCTTTGGCTAAATTTACACATTGCCAATTACAAAGTTTAGTGTTGTTAAATCATGGTGCTTCAAGAAAAGAGTTCTTACCACCCCCTAATTTTGTACTACATATAGTCCAAACTGCAGACAAAACAGCCACCTGTGAAAGAAAATGGTATTTGTTGAATTAAGAAACTGATGTGTGACACATTAGTAATGAGAGGATCACAGTTTCAGTAGAACATGGGAACTGGGTACTGCAACATCACCCTTTTTGTTTTTAAAGGGCCAAAAAGAAAAGAAAACCAGTTCTCTCACTTTTATCATGCAGACTGCTACTGTAACCCTCTACAAACAAATACCACAAAAGCCATTAATATCCCAACTCCTACATCAACTTTGACTTTGGCACTGTAAGGACAGATGTTTTGGGGACCAGGAGAAGGAATCAAAAGATGAAGAGAGATGACCAACCTTTAAGGTACTGCGGTTGCCAAGCAGGCAGTCCTGTAGCACTGGTTCATATTTTTTCATCAAAGTATCCCAGTTATGGTCACTAACAGTAAAGCTACTTTCATAGCCCGAGGTGACAGAAGAGCCAGCAGATGCTGCATCCGATGAATCTGTAGAATATGAAAATGTTGCATCTGTATCCGAGAGAGAGACAGTCTCACAGTCCTGTAGTTTATCATTTGCTGTGGTCTCATTTTCATACTCCAAATTCTCTCTGAGCCTGGAGAAGCAATGCAAAGCTCCCGAGTACTCACGAGTCTGCGCTGTCTCCTCTGGCTTCTGCAGATTTCCTGCGGTGCTGGGATGCAGAACGTACTCAGCTTCCTCGATGGTTGACTTGCCTTCAGCATCACCTACTCCAGAGAACGAGTTCAGGGAGAGCTGTATGAAACTGAAACTTGAACTAAAGCTACTGTGTGCGCCAATAGAACACGAAACAGTGTCTCTGTTTAGATATTCACAGTTGTTATTCACTTCTGTTTGATCCAAAGCATACATGGTTTGGGGGTCACTCACTTTAGCACCGTGGCTCTTCTGCCATGTACAGCATACAGCAGAAGCATCGCCTTTGCTTGTTGCTGTGGTAGCGTAAATTGGCATCACTGTGTTTTCTGACTGCGGACTCCTGTAACATGAAATATTTTTGCAGCTCCCTGCCATGCTTCCAGTAGTTCTCAACGTTGTTACCGCATCACTGGTAACTACAGCACTGTTTGCAACTCTGCAGTGTAAGAATTCAAAGCCCTTTTTGTGTTGTCTGCATAGAGAGCGTTTCTCAAAGTCTCCACAATGCTGCCTGCCATGTTTAAGCTCTTCTGGGCTGAACAGCTTGCAGGCACCGAGGGACTGAAACTCTATCTGTTGCTGAGCTTCTGGCCTCATGTATCCAGGTCTTTTTGCCAGTTTCTTTTTACGAAGAGAGCCTGCAGGCATTAACTGCTCCTGACCATCTGAGGAAAGGAGGGAGGGGGAAGGAAGAAAAAGTCATTAAAACGTTTCTGCAATTTTCTAGGCTTAACATATTGTAGCATCTGAAAATAATTGTTTCAGGAATGTCAAAGAGCACATCTGTTTCCATTTCAACAAAACAAGGACACTGACCATACTGCAGACAGAGGAGAAAAGCTGTTACCAGAGAACACTGTGTGTATTCGCCTACTTTCTGAAGAGCTTGCACCTGCTTTTAAGTGAACTCACCAACATAATCGCATCCATCAGGACACAAACCTGTGTAAGATGAACCACATCATCTTCCCTATTCATAACAACACTCTGCACACCTCTTCATTCTCAATTCACTTAGCACAGCAAAGCACTGACCTTGTTTAAGTCTCTCTGATCCAGAGTAATTTTCAGACTTACAAGCACATCTAGGATAGGACTGAATCTGCATCAAAAAAGAACAACCATATTCACGAAGAAATTTTGTGCATAACCTGTTGTTGCTCATGTCCAGTTTCTTGTGTTCATATCCATTTTTTATTAATACAAGCAAGGGTTTCAGATTCTGCTTCCAGAACAGATGTGACCCTGTAACACTCTATGGCTGCATATCCATCACTCTAATGAGATCTTTTGTAAGTTTTCATTGAGATTTACTGTATTACTTATTGTCCAAAACATGAAGTTAAAGGAAAAAGTTCTGCATGCAGGACTATCAGTCCTAGAAAACTAATGCCACCATATCCTTGCTAGCATTACTGCAATATTAGTATCATCAAGAAGGGGCCTCTGCTCAATAGTTCAATTTCCCCACATATACCTTACTACATGAAAATAATTTGACGCTTGCAGAGCACAATAGCAAGAACCAAGATAGCAAACACAAATAACACTAAAAGTGGGAGATTAGATTGTGGTATCTTGTCTTTGTTTTCTGTACATATCTATAAAAAACATTATGGGTAAAAGATTACATGGCGACTACTTTCAGTTTCTTACAGTTTTACTGCTAGTCAAAAGGTATTCCATTCTTCTGCCCTGCGTACAATCAATGGGAACATGAGCTCTGCACCATCATCTATTTTGTAACACAAAAACATATTGACCAGGCCCTATTTGCCAGAATCATCCTTCAAGGGGAGCTAGTGACTAGCTGAATTACACCCTTGATTAGCTACCCTCTACTCACAGAAACCAAGTCATTTGCCAGAATCTCCGGTGTTAGAAATATTCTCATCATCCACAAAACTCTTTCAAAAACACAAGTTTAAAAAAAATTTTCTTTACATGCAATATATGTAATATTCACCTCTAATCACAACCCTTTATCAGCTTTTACATTGAGAGATATGCACATAATCTAAACACCTCAGTAACTCCTAACACAAGTCTCATACACACCTCACTACAATGACATCCTATACAAAAATTTAAGCATTAGACCCGAAACTTCCCACAAGACTTTTCCCAACATTCACAACATTATCTCCAAATAACCTTCAATAAAATCAATTTATACGTTTTCCACATACTAGAATAGTGGCACAGCTCACCATGGGACTGCAGTTAAGCTTCTGTATTCTGCTTCCTGTCACCATAAATTAGAATACCCAGCTGTCTCTTACATTCTCCCTTGACAGAGGAAAAAGCATCACAGAAATCAGAAATAAAAAAAGGTCACGGAGTCTATCAGCCCATCTACTATAAAAAGACAGTGAAATGCTGTACTGGGAGTAATTTAATAGAAGTCTTAACAAACAGGAACCGCTAAAAATTGAACAAAAGGTTCTTTAGAATTTAATTCTTTTAGTTCATACACAAAATAGCAGCCTAAATTTGCCTCCAGCAGAAGAAATCAGTCATGCAGAAAAAAGTCATTCTAAGACTGGATATACTTCATCGCCATTTACAAAGGCTAGTCACAGGCCTCATTTGTAAAAATAGAAAAGGTTTGGTTTAATTAAAATCAGTTCAGAATTGATCTCACTAAATCACTATGAATTTCTGAAGCAGACATAATCACAACTCTTTAAACACCAAATTTAAACTAAGCTAACGTAAGTAAGGTTTACATTGGCCAAAGTGTTAGATATTTGCACCAAGTGAACTGGATGCTATTCTAAAGATTACTGGAATGGTACAATTCCAGTTTCCTGAACTAGTCCACACAAAACCCATGCATTTCTGCACTCCTCCCAACATTTGCAGGTAGCCCTCTAGACAGGTTTACCATTCAGCTCCTTTATGGACTCCAGGGCTTCCTCCTGGCAAGTCCAGCAGCCCAAGTCCCTCACCTGGCTACCAGAGTGCCAACACTGCCCAAATTATACCCAAGATTGTCATCCAAGCCACAAGCCACTCAAGGATGCTACAAGGAGAGGGCTGCAGGTCCTTTGCCCCAGCTTATCTGCACCTGAGCACAGGGCAGAGGAGGAGCAGACGGCCAGAGAGCTAGGACCAGCACCTCAACATGAACACCCACGCCTTCCCCAAAGGAAGGGGAGGGAGGAGGCAGCTGCAGCCAGACCCCCAACTCCAGTCGCAGTGCCCTTGGCCACCATGAAATCCAGCTAGGCTGTCACTATGGCTTCAGGTATACTGTCTGTACACCATTTACCCTTCTGTCACGTTCCTTTTCTGAAGATTAGGATTATTTCAGTTGTTTATCATCACATATCTGAAATTTAGTTACAAAGACTTTGTTTTCCTGCACAGCCTTCCAACCATATCTTGCTTTGTCTGCACATCAGTTACAGAAACTACACTGAACCAATTCATCTAGCTTGTTAAAAAAAAAAAAAGCCTCAATTTTTTCCTTATAATTCCCTTAGTTACAAGCATGTCAAATAACTCAGGGCTACTACAAGACTATCAAAATGGTACCTTGGAACACTGTGAAACAACTGAAGGTAATTAACAACAAATACATTACAGTGTGTCATGCACTGCATGAGACACGCACTTAGAAGAAGCAAAAAAGTCACAAATGGCAGAAACACCTTTCAATTGTAATATTACAAATCAACTTTAAAAAAAAAAAATGTATGTTACAATCCTAGAAGATGGTGCAATGTATATTCTAATGTCAGATTATGTGCAAACTGCTTCAAATCCAAATTATGAAAGCCCAGAAGTAACTTAACTGTAACAGCTCTTTCACCATAACAATCTTTCCTGATGGCCAACATTTCATAAAGACTAACAGCCCAGAGCCAGAGCACAGAGCGGTGGGGCTAAATCCATTGCTCTAAAGCACGGCATGACCAGCAACGCTGTTCACATCTTGCTTGCACCAGTAAGATGACAGAGAGGTGAAGCCAAAGAGCATTTCCTACTGATGGAAGCAGCACATTCTCTTGTACCTAGCCTCATGGCTAAGGGACAGCAGAACAGTCATCTGTTTCATTTTTGATAATCAGTCTTTTTTTTTAGCCACAAAAGTGGCAGTCCATTTTTTTGATCAAATGCCCTAGTAGCATCTGTGGACAGACAGGTGTAACTACCTTACATTTTTATAAAGTTCACTAGGACTTTACAGATCAGTATGGAAACCCTGAAGCAATACCTCCCCACCCTGCTTTAAACCCATAATGCAGAATGCTTGCAAGCTCATTAAGTTCTCCCTGAAAGTAACTGAGAAATTATACATGCAGTTTTAAAGAGAGTTCATCTATCTGAATACACCTATATTATGCACAGTTGATTATCGTAACAACAAGTTCACCTTCAGTGCATTTGTGGGTGGTAACTGTGGTGTGGAGGAAAAGATACTTGCTCATATTCAAAGCCAACTACCAAAGCATTGCTCCAAGCAAATTCTGTAATGCTGCTTCTGTTAAGGAAGCCTTAAACACCTGCATTAAACTGTACATGAACAAAGTAAGCCAGATGAAAATATTTATTATTTACAAACAGACACACAAATGTTTAACCTATCAGTAACAAAAATGAATCATTCAGAGGAATTAATCAATCTGACATGACAATAACCATTACTGTTCAGTTCCTATGTCATAAACATACGTAAAATGTTGCAGGTTCCTAATTATTTTGACTCATTTGCTGAATTTCAAAGATATCACAAAATATTCAAAATAAGATGGCACTGATCTCAATGCAGCCTATGTTAAAACAAATCGGCACCATCTCTTTACACAAGTAAGCTTTCAAAGAAAGTTACCTTTGAATACAGATTTTTATAACTCTTAAAAAGCAAAGCTCTCATTGAGCTTTTTCATCTTACTTATTGAATGTTAACTATAATTTGATTTATCTAGCATTTTATACAGTGTATCTATAGAAGACAAGCAACAGCTGAGCTATATCATATTTGATACCATTTACAAGTTATTTCCTCACCAAGGGTTCCCGTGATTTCTAAGATTGCAGGCTGGTTTCATTTATTCAACTGTTAAATTTCCCAAGATATCACATACAAAATATTCGCTGAAGTCATTAAATACATGTTAGTTCCTATTCTTCATTAAAAAAACACTTCAAAGAGTTGTGCATTTTAGAAGTCCAAGTGGCCTTCCTTAGCCAGTGTTGACGTAGTCCCATAATGCACATGTCATTGAGTTGTTATATTTGAGCCACTTACCTCCTTAATGCAACAACTCATTTTAAGCCATTTGACAAGACTGCAGCACCTCTCTCTAGAGTAAGTGTCATGTTAGCCGATTGATACCCATTTCAATGCGCCCATCAATTCCCCCCCCCCCCCCCCCAAAAAAAAGAAGTGTTTTAAATCTGGTTTTGCATATAACACTAAGAAAAACAAATCTATTAAAAAGTAAGCTAGTAAATATCAAACACTTCCCACGTCAGTAACAATCACCTATTTAGTCAAGGGGAATAAGAGAAGCACCCCTTTCCTTAATTAGTTATTATAATTGTGTTTGATACTATTAACACTTTAAAACACATCTGCATTCATCTTC